GGCCCAGAAGGAGCTCCAGAACCTGTAGGAGCAGCAGAGGGCCCAGAAGGAGCTCCCGAGCATGCAGGAGGAGCAGCTGCTCCCACAGCAGCTCCGGACCCTGTGGAAGGAGCCAGTGGCTCTGTAGCAGCTCCAGAGCCTATGGAAGTAGCAACTCCTGACCATTTGGTAGCAGCACTTGATGTCTTGAGGGATACTTCAGAGGCTATGGAAATAGCTAAAGAGCCAACCCCAGAGCTGCCAGGAGTGTCCTTCAGGCACTCACAAAGGTGGGCAGAGGACTCTGGGCTGTGGAGATGTGGCAGCAGTTCCCATCCAAGGGGAATTCCCTCTGCCCAGGTAGCTCCTAATTCCCTAAGTGCCAGCCCAGCGGTGGTGGTGCAAGAGTGGATCCCAGGAGAGGTGTTGAGGTGGTTTGCTTGGCTTGAGGCAGAAGTGCTGTGACCAGTGCCTGCTGCAAGGTTAAGTCTCATGGAGCAGCTTTGGGAATCATCTCAAGGCTTCAGCCCTTAGTCAGGAACAGCAGTGAGGCATGGACATGAGTTCTCCCAACTTGCTTCCCAGGGCACTGCACAGCAGGGCAGACCAGAGGGCTGGGAATTTCTCTTCCATAAATTCACACCCAGGGCTGGGTGTGGGGTCCCAGGAGAGGGGCACAGCTGGATTTGGGGTCAGTGGAACTCTGGTGGTCCCTCTACAGCCCTCTCAGATGTACTTACTTTGGGGCAGTGTTATTCCTGGTGCTGTCTCTCCAACCCTGTCAGCTGTGTTTATTTTGTAGGCAGCCCTCTGGAGCTGTAACCTCCTGTGGCATCTCTGTGCTGAGAGAAGCTTTCAAGATCCTGTCGGACTACCAGGACTCTGACGCTCTCTTCACCCAACTGGACCAAACAGACTTCCCTTTCCCCAAGCAACTGTCTCCTTCTGTATCCCACAGAACGAAGAGACTGAAAGAGGCGTCTCGAAAGGAGGAGGAATGCCAAGGCTCTGAGATCTCAGACCCTCTTGACGTACCCCCTAAGGGCAAACGCTTGCTGACCATAAGCAAACTGGTCATGGAGCCAGACCAGTACAGAGAGTCCAGTGAGAGCCCTGACTCTTCCCAGGAGCATGTGGTCACTTCTGCCTCCAGACCTGCTCAGAAATTGCATGACCAGCCTGTATCTACCCAGATGGCCAAGTATGGAGCTCATCTCTTGTGGTATAGTCTGACCTGCCCCCAGCCTTGCCTTGCAGCTGTTTGCAGCAGTGTGAGCACCATCCCTTCAGTCCGAGTGTCCTGACTGTCCCTGTGTGCTCACACATGGAAGTGGGCAAGGCAGACCCTCTCCTGTCCTCACACTTTGCTTTAAAGCTAATTATGGGCTAGGAGAGGAGGAAACAATCCAGTGTCACTGATAGGTAGCACTCTGTGCTTGTCTCAGCATCACTTACCAGAGGTGGTAGGAGCATCCCAAGGAACAGCTTAAATCCTGCTTCCCACCTCCTGGGAAACATGGTGTCCACAGGCTGTGCTCTGGGTGGCCCTGCACCTCCTCCCCAAAAACCTCCTCCCTAGTCAGTAACCGAAGTAAACACTCACCTGCTTTCAGGTCCTTGCAAAGAAGATGGAACAGCTCCTATGGCATGGAAGAAAAGGACAGTTGGAGTGAGGAGGATGAACTCTTCTCAGATACAGGTAAGAACAGAGTCCCTTTGCAAGGCTTACCTGGTGCTGATCATTGGGGTCCTTCATGGGGGTCTTGCTGCCAAGGGTGACTCAATTTGGAATCCAGAAATCCAGTAGCAAGGCAGAAGGATAAAGGGATTGGGGTTTGTGGCCTGGCCCAGGGTGCTTTGAGCACACAGCTCAGCAGTTTAGCCTGAGGCAGCCACGAGGCGGTCTGTCCCTTCCCAAACTGTGGGACACTGTTTGGGACTGTAACCCTATTCCTTGTTTTCCAGCATCACTCATGACAGACACCCCAGTCTCTGGCTCCAAGAAACAGGTATGTGGAGCTTCAGGTGCTTTCAGCAGGGCCTGGAATCAGGCTGTGTCCATAAAGTCTGTGGTGCAACAGCCCTGTTAGGAAGTTGGCCAGAGCTGTGCCCCCCCTGGGCACCAGGAATGTGCCACAGGTGCTCAAAGCCAGGTTTGGCACATTCCCCTCGTGCTGGAGGGGATCAGCATCTCTGGGTGAGGGACACACATCCAGCAGCTGCTGCCTGGGGAAAGGCCCCAAGTGTGGTGCCACCAGGAGCTCTCACCTGCAGGGAGGCAGCTGCAGGCTCCTGTACTGCTGTACCACAGCTGCAGTGCTGTGTGCAGCTGCCAGGACCTGTCTGCCTGCCCTGCTGTTCCTGGCATAGGACACAAGGGCAGGGACATGCCAGGAAGGAGCTGCAGTGGTTCTCTGCCACACACTGCTTCTTCCCTGAAGCTGCTCCCCTGCTCCTCATAGAAATGGACGATCCAGGAGAGCGAGTGGATCAAGGAGGGTGTGAAGAAGTTTGGAGAGGGGAGGTGGAAGACCATTTGCCAGAAGTACCCATTCAGGAACCGCACGCCAGTGATGATCAAGGACCGCTGGAGGACCATGAAGAAGTTGGGCGTCCTCTGAGGTCAAGAGCCAAGGGTCAAAACCCTCGTTGATGTGTTTTTTTGAAATCTGAACCAGAGGAACAGCAGCCAGGAGGGTGCTGTGCTGGTGTGGGAGCCCCTCAGCAGCCCAAAACCACGGACAGGGACCCAGGAGCCTTGTGCTGCAGCTGTGCCAGGATCAGTGTCAGGAGCTGTGCAGCCTCTGCATGCACTCAGCTCCACCTGGGATAGCCCTTAATTTTCCAGCTGACCCCTGAATGAATCCTGGCTGGATTTCCCTGCTCAGGTGCTGTCAGTCAGCAGATGATCCTCACAGTGACTCTTTTTATGTGTTTTAGTTGTCTAATCTCTGAATCACTCGTTTCATCCATTTGCCATCACTCTCCTGGGGCAGATGCAGCCTTGAGTTCCAGAGCTTCTGGAGGGAAGAGATTAGGCAAAGGGGAATCCAGTTAAGATTGTTTTCTATTCCTTTCTGCTTTGTAAATGACTAATCTGTGCGGGGAATTTCCTCCCTCTTAGCTCTGAGGCTTTAAAGACTTTATTTTTGTGTTTCAGTACTTAAAAATGTTGGTAGTTTCCATGTTAAAAGTTCCCGTTGTGGCTGAGTCTGGTCATGCCTTCTGGGCACTTTTCCTGGTGACCTGCTTCTGCCATGTGCAATCCCTGTGGGCAGTGCCTGTTGCCTGCAGCTGCCCAGGCTGGAACCCATGGCCAGGCAGTGGCTTGGAAAATAAAGTTCATTACTTGTTGGATATCAAAAGAGCTGTGGAAGTGTGAGCTTGTGCCTCCTGTGTGGACATGCAGCAGTGTGGGGCTCTCCCTGCCCTCTGGGGGTGTTGGGGCGGAGCAGTGCTGTGCTGAGGGTGTGATGTGCAGATTTGGGTGGGAAGCAGGAGCTTCTGGGGTGGATTTCTTTGGGAAAAGGGCAGGGGAGGTATGGGGCGAGTTTCCCTTGGCTGTGTTCTGGCACAGGCCAGGGCTGGGAGAAGACTGGCTGGGAACACCTGCTTCCCCCTCTGTCCTTCAGCCACAGGTGCTGTGCTGTGTGCCTTGTCCCCTGGCCGTGGCTGTGGATCTCCCTCCTCTTTTGCCTGTAAATCCATTCTGTGGGGCTGGAGCAGCCTTGGGCAGGAGGAGCACTGGGATGGGGAAACTCGATGTGTGCCAGTAGTGCCAGTGTGAGCCACGGCAGTCGTTGGGTGCCACTGGAAGGAGCTGTGTTCCGTTCCTCCCTTCTCCATGCCCTTGGCAGCGCAGGGAGGGCTCCCAGAGCTCCTGCTCTGCCCTGGGCTCAGCTGGAGCCGCGGAGGTTGTGCTGCGCTCCTCCCGACACCACCGCGGTTAATGATTACCCCCTGCGCCTCCTCCTGCCCGGCGGGAGCGAGCACCGGGTCCCGGGAAGCAGGAGGATGCTGCTGCTGCTGCCCCGCTGCCCCAGGACAGAGCCCCTCAGCGGGACCAGCCAGGAGCCGCTGTTCCGCGGGGCAGATCGCTACGACTTCGCCGTCGTCATCCCTGCAGGCACCGTGGAGTGTTTCTGGCAGTTTGCACACCAGGGAGGCAACTTCTTCTTCAGCTACGAGGTGAGTGCTGGGGCTGTGTCCTGGGAAGGTGCTGACATGGTCAGGGAATGGCTGTGCTGGGTCAGTGCCGTGCAGCAGGACCTGCAGAGCACTGTGCCTCAAGGACTGTGGGTTTTCAGGCTCTTTTTAAATCATGGAATACTTTGCGCTGGAAGGACCTTAACTCTGCCATGGGCAGGGACACCTTCCACTAGTCCAGGTTGCTCCAAGCCACATCCAACCTGGCCTGGAACACCTCCAGGGTTGGGGCAGCCACAGCTGCTCTGGGCAACGTGTGCCAGTGCCTCAGCACCCTCACAGAAGAGGAAATCCTTCCCAATATCCTATCTAGTCTAATCCCTATCCATCATTTATCATTTAAATACCTCTTTTAAAGCCACCAGGTGGTGCTGGGATAGTGGTGCCCAAGCACCTGGAGCTCCTGGAGTGCTGTGGGGTGTCCTGGCACTGTGCAGAGCTCTGCCCTTCGCTGCCTGGCTGAAGGCTGTAGCACAGCCCAAGGTCTCAGCACAGAGTGTCCCTGTGCTCTGTCCCCTTCCTGCATGGAAACTGCAGCCCTTTCACCTCCTGTTTACACTGTGCTGGCTGAAGGAGAGCCAGGGCACAGCCAGGACACAGCTGGGACACAGCTGTGCCTGGCACTGGCAGCTCCCCCCAGGCTCTGTGCTCAGCAGTGCTTTTGGTCACACAGCCCTGGGGCTCGGCACAGCTCCATCCCTAATACACCAGTGGCCATGAATTCCCCTCGGGTGTTCCCTGCCTCCAGGTGCAGCGGGCGACAGGAATCGGCAACAGCAGGAACATCCTGGTCACGGCAAGCGACCCCAGTGGCTTCCAGCTTGGCCTGTCCCAGGACGTGAGAGGACAGATCAACTTCCTCACCAAGGACACAGGTCCTCCTGCCCCAGTCCCTGCAGCAGCTCCGAGACTGCCTGGCCAGCACTTCCTGAAGTGCTCATCACTCCCAGTGGAGAGGATGAGGGCTGAGCACTGGGAATGCATCTACTTGTTGCTCTTCTACTCCAGGACCAACATCCACATTTCTCTCTGCAGGTTTCTACCAGCTGTGCCTGGACAATGAGCAAAACCACTTTGGCCTCATGCAGGTGTATCTCAACTTTGGTGTCTACTATGAGGACTTCAACATGGAGCATAAGGAGCTACAGGAGAAGAAGGAGCTGAATGACACACTGGAGGCAATCGAGGTGAGGGTTGGGGTTGGCCACAGGGCAGTAGGACCAAGGAAGGTGTTTGCCACTGGCTGAGCTGCACTTCAATTCCCCATTGAGCAGCTCTGAGCACAGCTCTGCCTCTCCCCCAGCTCAGCATCCAGCGGCTGCAGATCCACACCTTCCACATGTGGCGCTTCTACAACTTTGCCCGGATGCGGAAAGGGGCTGACTCCTTCCTCCTGGAGGACAACTACAACTATGTCAACAGGTGGTCGATGGTCCAGAGCTGCGTCATTGTCCTCTCTGGGGTGATGCAGCTCTACTTCCTCAAGCGCCTCTTCCATGCGCAAACCTCAGGCAGCCAGAAGTGCTAGGGCAAGGCAGGGCCACAACCTGCAGCACCTGGTGCCACAGCTGACACTCTGCCCTACTGTGGAGCAGGAAGAACAGCAGGATCCTCCCTCCAGGAGGAGGTTGGAGAGTTGCCCCTGTTCCTGCCTCCGGCTCTAGCCCTGAAATCACCCCGAGAGAAGCCAAGCACCACAGTGTCACCTGAGCTTTGTGTGATGGGTGGGTTTGTCACATCTCTGCTTGTTGTTAGGGTCCCAACACGCCTTTTCTACCAGACTCCCAATAAAGGAATCTGTGGCACCCTCTGGGGAGTGATCACTGCCTGCTGCTGCCATCCAGTCTCTTTGAGCTCAGGGGAAGCAAGTTGTGCCTTGCAAGCAGCTGCCAGCCCATCCTTCCCTCCATCCCTCCTTCCCTCCATGAAGCTCAGGCCCAGGCTTTGAGCTTCCCCTGGCCTTCTCCATCCCCCCAAATGTGGTGCTTCCCACTCCGGAGTCACTCCAGTACATCACACTGCCCCAGGGAGGCAGAGACTCACAGGAGGGGCGAGGGTTGACCCCACAAGGCTCCACACTAGACAACAGGCACTAGCAAAAGGGAACAAGCTTTATGTGACAGGGCTGGGGCAGCCCTCCCAGGGCTCCAGGGGACCCATCCTGCTCAGGGTGGGCTCCCCATGGCTCCATGCACTGACAGTGCAGGACAAAGTCCATTTGGTCTAAGAACACTTGCAGGTCCTGAGAGTCCCTGGAGGTCCCTCAGGTCAGTGTGTCCTCGTTCCGCACGTACTCCCCGACATCAGCTTGGTGGAACACCACAATGGCCAAGGGATCCACCTTCCTGCACTCCTGTGTGGACTTGGCAGCCACCCCAAAGCCCTGGGGAGGAGAAGAGGAGGTGAGAGGGAGTTCCCCCACCTTGTACCTACCCCCAGCCCTCAGGGGCAGGTGCTGGGTGCTCACCAGTGGCACGTCAGCCATGGAATACACCACCACCCCCTGGTACTGCGCCGTGTTCTCCGTGATGCGTCCCAGCCCTGACTTCAGCACATGGTTGCCATAGAGGAAGGACTGCTCAGAGCCAGGCTTCACCCACACCTTGTACTGCAAGAGAGGTGCAGAGCAGTGAGGGGCTGGGGGCTGCCCGGGGAGCTGCGGGGGGCTGGGGGCTGTC